GTGTGTGTGTGTGTGTGTGTGTGTGTGTGTGTGTGTAACTCATTTCTCCAGAGTACTCTGCACACACCCAGAGTCTGTCGGGGTGTGTGTGTGTGTGTGTGTGTGTAACTCATTTCTCCACAGTACTCTGCACACACCCAGAGTTCTTAGAAGGAATGTCGGTGTGTGTGTGTGTGTGTGTGTGTGTGTGTGTGTGTGTGTGTAACTCATTTCTCCAGAGTACTCTGCACACACCCAGAGTTCTTAGAAGGAATGAACCGGACATCAGCGAATCAATGAACAGAAGGGCAAAAAGGTTAGGAAGACAAGACCAGAGTTCAGAGCAGACCACATTTATCCTTCCAAATCCCCCACCCACACATACACTCAGGGCTGCCTTCTGACTTTCCTGGGCCCTGGGTACTTTTGCCTTTATGCGCTCTTTCTGCCACACACAAAAACATTAAAAATCATACTTTATGACTACACTGACATGAAGATGAATATATTAATGTTATGTAATAAAACCTTTCCCTTGATCTCAAAGTGCATTTTGTTTTTCCGATTTTAAAAGAAATTAAAACATTTTCCCAGACTTCTAAAAGCCATGTGGGCCCTGGTCACCATATGCCTAATGGAGAAGTCAGTGGGGCCCACACTGAGCAAGGCAGAAGGCTGGTAACAGCGGCCAAGGTTATCCCGCACCACCCTTCCTCACCCCGCGAGCCAGAGCACCTAGTCATCGGGTCACATGGAAGCCATGCGCCCTCACAGGGTGCTGGCTGCTCCATTTTTCCGCTGGAGAGACAGGAGTTCTTGAATATACCAAAAGGGAAATTAAATATTTCCGACGGCTGAATGTTCTATATTAACAGCACAAGACAAGTACCCGTTACTGAAATAGCGGGCCTTTACACAGATGAGACAAGAGTGAAAAGGAAACCCACTTGTCAACGTGCCGCAAACTTGTGATTAAAAAAAAAAAAGAAAGATTCTGAACTAAAACTATAAAACCCACAATTTCTACAGTGTCACAAACCCCCTGGCCACTCGACATACTATTCATTGGTGATGGTAGCAATGACAAATAGTTCTGAAAAACATCAAGGCTTTCCCCCCCCCATTTGCTTGCTACTGCTCAACTGTGAACATGTAAGCTTTGAGTAACATGTCCCTCTTCACGGACAGAGCTCTGACTTATGGTCACAAGACTAGGGATAAATGCTGGTTTACCACTTTCTAAATTACGAACTTATTCATTGAGCCTCTGTTTCCACATCTGGAAAATGGGGATAATACCTGTTCCAACCTATCTCAGCTGTTTGTTAGGAATATCAAATTATAAAACACTGGTGAAAATGCTGAGAAGTTGTTCATTAAGTGCTATGTGCATGTAGGGGCACCTGGGTGGCTCAGTCAGATAATCGTCATACTCTTGATTTCCACTCAGGTCACGATCTCAGGGTGGTGAGATCAAGCCCTGTGTCAGGCTCCTCCCTGGGCAAGGAGTCTGCTTAACTTGCTTAAGATTCTCTCTCTCTTCCTCTGCCCCTCCCCGCCACCCCCATCCCCCGCCCGTGCTCTCCCTAAATATATATATTTATATGTGTGTGTGTGTGTGTGTGTGTTTAAGTGCTACATGAATGAAAAGTATTATTACACAGAAAGGAAAATGCTTATGAACTCAAAGCATTGAGACCTTCCCACAGACACTGGCAATAAGCAATTCAACTAAACCAACTGTATGTATTTTTTAAAGTACAAACTATTAAGAACCCAGCAGCAAACACTCTAACTGTAATTTTTCAGCAAAATATAGACTGACCTAAAGATTTCATAGCACTTGCTCAGAGCAAGCCCCTCATAATATTTGTAGAAGGAATGGACAGCGTAATGACAAATTACAGTAAAAAAAGTCTTTATCTCAGTGGCCTGGAATTCTCAGACTCTACTATTATTATTACTCATTAAGTCTAATCTTTATGTAGGGAAGGGTCTGTTGAATACATATTCTAAAACCTTGCTGGGGAAAAAAACAGTCTTCTAAGAACAGCAATGCATTTTAAATGAGCACTCAAAGTCAACTATGGTGCTAAGACTCCAAATATTTTTTTCAATCTTGAAAATCTTGAACTTGGTAGGAGCGCTAAACGTCACTATTCTTTTGTGGATGATGAGCTTTTCCTTTCTCACTCTCTTAAACAGTGCTGTGGCCCGAGGGCCATCCCTGGCTGCTATTCTTCACACCCTATTGCACTTCCAGGAGGATCTCACCCAAACATGTGGCTTCAAGCACCCAGCATGAGCTGAGGATTCCATCTCTGTCCCAGTCCAGGCATCTCTCCACATACACATCCAGCCTCTTGCCTAGAGGTCCCAGGAGCACAGAGTCCACACCCTTGCCACACCATCCTGCTCCCCATCTCATTTCCAGCAAACCTGCCAGAAATCCAGTTACCCCTGACTTCTCTCTTTGACTCACCTCCCAAATCCACACTGACCAAGTTCTCAAGATTCACCCTCCTTTGAACTCCCACAACCCTATTCCCCCTGCTACTGCTTTGGTTCAAGGCCCACTTTTCCAACATTAATGCATATGGGCTGCTGGTGGATCTCTGGGCCTGTACCCAATTCATCCCCCACACTAAGATAAGAATGACCCCAAAGCACACATCTGGTGATGTCATTTTCCTGCTAAGAGTCCTTCAAAACCTGCCCCCTAACCTTCAAGATCAAGTTCAGACTCCTTAGCTAGCACAATAGCCTTTCATGATTTTTACTCTACTCATCTCCAAAGGCTAAACAAAAGTCCCCCTACACGACATGCCAGTTTGCGCCTCCGTGCCTTTGAACATATTGTTCCCTCTGCCTGGACTGCTGTCCCTACCCCCCTATGCACTTTCTTCTTCGTCATCATTTCCTCTTGCCTTCATTTTCTGCTAACTCCAATTCATTTTTCAAAAGGCAGCTCAGTCTCTGGCAATCCTCTGATTCACCCAGTCTGATTCACCTGATCCTCCTCCGAGCCCCTCATGCCTCTGGGCACACCTGGGCCCTGTCCCTACTCACCACAACTTACTGGGCTGTCTAATGCCCACAGGC